ACGCAGGAGCTACAGATCACAACTAATCAACACACGTCACGTAGCTCGGATTTCTGAGAGCAGCCTGCCCTGTGGTTGCTTAGGTGAAGCTCCATCATTAGCCAGCACCAACATGTAGCCTCAATGCCACCTCACTAACACACCAAAGCCAGCTCTTAGGGCCACCTCTTACCTGGTTGGTTGTCAGGGTGAGATCTTTCAGAGGCCAGAGGTGCCTGAAAGGAAATTACAGAGGGAAGATTTAGGAGGCAGATGTCTTAACTCTATCCTAAGTCAGTCTTGACTGTTTTTATCTCCTCATTCAAGGTGATGCTAAAGTCTTGTAGGTGCATGAAGCTACGTTTGCTCCTCTCGTTACACGGCTATAGCAAGAATTAATAGCTGAGACTCATTGACCTGAGTGACCACAGATGCTCCCTTAACAATCAGTGGAGAGTTTTGGCACTTTCAGATTCAATTCCTCTTATTGAGTCCAGACTAAACTGAGTTGCCAAATTGAGACTCTGGGTCTCCTGCTACCCTGCTTATGTCCTCGAGCTGCAGATGATGCTGTGTTAGAAAAAGCTCACGTGCCTCATGAGGCTGAGTCACTGGTGCTCACATATCACTTCCAAAGATGGACCTAGCTGCAGGAATGGGATCTAGGAAACATCTGACTCTGCTGCCTTCCCCTGTGTTGAGACTGTGTGCCCACACTGTTACAGAAAGTACCATTCATTGGACCATAGCTCTTTGAGACACATTGATAAACTATATCTGATTGTTTCTGTGTTGGAGCAAACCCATTGCTTGGTGAGCTAGAAAGGACGATTTTGCCAAAGGAAAATGAAAATTATCACAGATAATAGCAGCTTTCCACTAGTCAATGTTGTTCCAGGCAGTGTTGCAGGCACTCTGTGGCAAGACTTCCTTCAACAGTCTAGAGAAAACTTCAGTGCTACAGCCAGTGATGGACCCAGGAAGAGGTTATGTGTCCCTTCCTCCTGTGCCATCAGAGCTTTCCCTGGCTACTACCTTCCCAGCTGGTATGGGGTTGCATCCCGGGATGAAAAAAACATCACTCACTTCTGCACATCCAGGAACTCTAGCAGCTTGATGTCAGGAAATAGACTTAGGTCCACGATCCCTTGGCAGTAGAGGTCATCTTCTCTTTCGTGATAGAGCATGTAGAGCATGAAGAGCTCAGGGTAGAAGCAGGGCAAGATCAGCGGCAGGACCACACTGCATGCCTTCTGGTCACTGTGGCAGAGAAAAGCAAAGCAGAGTCCTACAGTGAGACTTACAACCTTCATATTCCCAACAGCCACCCAGCACCCAACGAGAGAGGCAGCTTCTGAGACTGCAAGGTGTCCTCCTTCTCCTCTCCTTCCTCCACCTTTGAGTTCAATGTCACAGCTGGACAGTAGTGACCTATGTAACACCCTCATGCTGAAGATGCAAGTGCACTTTATGATATAAGACAGGACAGGGTACTGTTTCTCCACAAGATCTCTTTAGCCACAGGGAGAAACTTAGACCACCAGAGACCTATCACCAGCTGTACTTTCTGAGCTGTTTCAGTAAAGCACTTGCTATTTCTTAAGGGACAAAGACCAAATAAATTCAGATAAAACCCTTCTCCAGCTGCTTACCATTCCACCAATCTCTTGGCTTCATTCAAAACCATGTGGGGATGGCTGCAGATTACAGCCAAGAGGAATCCAGTCCAAATGGAGATAATTGAACAAAGATACTTCTTCCCACCCCCAAACCCACGTCTCCCACAATTATTCCTGCCTTCTTATTCAAAGAACGTCATCTCTTCTACCTCTTCTGCCACATGTCCTACACTGTACTCCCTGTTTCCAGTCCTGCCTTTCTCTCAATGCTGGTGTGGAAGTCACATTGCCACAATGAAGAAGTTCCTGTGACTAATGCAAAGCACATGGTAGCACTCAGACTACTGTCTCGCACACAACCATGCTACTGCACAGTAGCCAGCGTGGGCAATCTTGCAAGGCTGACCCCCACGCACCTCCAACTCACCACTTGATTCTGCTACAGAACATGACCAGAAGTTGCTCTCCTGCTTCAAGTAGAAATACTGAAAGCTTTTCACTCAGAGAGAAGTGTGGGCACTAAACTTGACTCAAATGGACAAATACCATCAGTTCAGCACTTATTGTGTTTTAGAAGACATCTCATAAGTCCAAGCAGCTTAAAATTAAACAACCAGTGGTGGCATGTACCTTATCTCTCCATCTACACACTTTGCGGGCAGTTGGCCTTTCTGTTCCAGCGCCAGATGGAGCAAACCCCTAGAAGAGGAGCAGAACCAAGGTTTAGTTCCCAACTCTCCTTTTTTTAAGGGTAATTTGTTATTCACAAGTGAGGACCTCAGCTGCCCCAGCACCAAGCTCAGATCCCTCACCTACATGAAGTTTCATGACAAAGACACACTGCAGATGAACTGAATTAAATCTGATTTGTTCCCATCAGTTGTGCTGCTGTTCTTGGACTGCTCCAGGACAGACAACACCTCATCACAGAGCTGGCAGCCTTCCTCAAGCACCAAGGTTACACTGATAACAACAGAGCTTCTATCCAAACTCTTATTTTTAAAGTATCAACTCCCTCAAGTGCAGCCAGAGGCAGAGCTCCTCACCTCTGCCTACTGAGGCATGTCTTGTATCTTCTCCTAAATGATATTCAAACAGCAACAGGACTCCAATCATGCCTTTGATCCAGTGTTTAATTACCCATGGGCACAACCACACAACAGAGCAAGCTCAATTTAGAGTCACTACCCACATCAGCCGAGCCTCAACAATGCTCTTACACCACATGTTCTTAACTCCTGTTGAGTCGAGGCACGTTAAGCTTAAGATATTTAATTCAAACAGACTCCTGGGAGATGTTCTAGCACGTAAAGGGGGCCTACAGGAAAGCTGGAGAGGAACTTTTGACAAGGGCATGTAGTCATAGGACAAGAGGAGATGGATTTAAATTGAAAGAGGGAAGACTTCAACTAGATCTAAGAAATAATTCTTCCCTCTGAGGGTGGTGAAGCACTGGAACAGGTTGCCCAGAGAAGTTGTGGCTGCCCCATACCTGGAATTGTTCAAAGCCAGGCTGGATGGGGCTTTGGGCAACCTGGTGTAGTGGAGGGTGTCCCTGCCCATGGCAGGGGGGTTGGAACTGGATGATCTTTGAGGTCTCTTCCAATCCAAACCGTTCTACGATAGATATTGAACAGCACTGTTATGTGCTCTGACATACTTTGCTGACCTTGTTACTCAGTGAGGTTTCTTGTTCGTATTTGTGCTTGTCTAAATGAAGTCTGTTATGGGCAACAGCTCACTGAGCTGCCACAACTCCATGAGATCTAGTCACGTTAATGCCCCTGGGTCATGTACTGAGCAATAGGCAGAATAAAGGTTTCCTGGGGTCATATGGCCTTAGGTATTGCAAATAACTCTTTACCTGGCACCATTCTGGACAACGCTCCCAAGAAACATGCTGTGAAATAAAGCAGCCCTGTCAGCTGAAAAAACGATCCCAATGGTCTACTCCATAATCCCTCTATGCTCATACCCTTTGGAAGGACTCAGCATCTTGACTTACTGGTAAAACTCCCATATTTTCTTTGCATAGTACTTGACTTCCTCTTGTGCCATCGTCAGCAAGTGTCTGTTGGCCCCAATCCCAGAATACGTTGCCTGAAAAGCTATTGTCAAGGCCTTCAGCAGCTTTCCCAGTGGGTGCAGGGAAGACTTCAATGCCTGCATGATAGAGGAGAATTCTATTTTACAAGACAGCCCAAGCCATTAACAGAGAATAACACCAAAGGCCACCCAACCTTCTCTTGTCAGCAAAGGAGAACAAGCCTGGAGGTAATCAACTATAATTTTGGTCTGTTTCAGCTGTCACGAGCCCATTCTCCTCCCATCATCAAGCAGAAATATGCTTAGTAGGATTGCTGTTCTGATGAGATTTGCTGTGAGAGAGGAAAAGGTGCTTCAGGGAAAGGCTGGCTGAGGGAAAAAGGACGACCAAGAGTGCATGGAAGTTTATAAATCATTTCCAGCAGCTGGTTAATCCCTGACACAGTTTGAGAACCAAGAGTGAAGCTTTAACATCACTCCCTGGCCCATGTGCAAAATAAATGTCCAAAAATCATGAAGGATAATCCTCTTCTTCACAAGCAGAGGTATTTATACGTAGTTTAGGGAAGACTTTTGAAGTCACTGGTCATGTTATATGTGTGAACAAAATCAACAGAAAGTTGCTACAACCCGCGTCCGTGTCTGGTGGACAGACGTGGATCATTATGGTTTTAAACTTTACCTTTTCTAAATAACTCTGTAGTGACTCCAGCCCTTGGTGCTGGACAAGCTCCTCAAGAATATCTTCTATTTTCCAGGATACATCCTCAGTCCCCCTGAAAAGATGAGAGGTGAGGAAGGAAAACCATTCATTGAAGCACTGGGATCAGTCCCAACTGGTGTGGCAGGTGGATACTAAGGGGACAAGAAGACTATTAGAACAAATTAATTTTGCTCCGCTCTTTTGCATGTAATTGCTCCACTGGCTTACAACACCTCTGATTATCTACTCAGCCTGGGTTGCATTTGGCACATGCTTATCTGATCTGTTGTAGATATCTTGTTAAGGGGAGATGAGTTTGCTCTGCATCCACTGATGATGTCAGTTAGGTCTCCCTCAAGTGCAAGAAGAGCTAATGATGAGTGGGTCCCATGCTTACATTTAATCAAAATGAATCCCATCCAGATTTTCACTTATTAGAATGAGTCTCAACATCACAACCTTAAATTTAGGCTTAAGATTCTTTCGTCTGTCTCATGAGCTGGAACAGCTGGATAATGCTTGGGTTCATAGCTTCAACACATGGTAGACCCTACTGTAAACCACCATCCTCTCTACACAAATGGGCTCCTCTGTTGCAATGAGGGCACGCAATACTCATACCTTTGGCAGAAGAGATACTCCTGAGATTTCCGCAGCTCCTTGCTCGTTTGTATGTGGAATCCCGTGAAAGACTCCTCTGTCTCTTCTTTGCAGCCAGAATGGATGAACTCCAGGAACTGGTCATAGATTCCCTTCCATCTCTTCTCCACTGGGAACTCCTCGAGGCCCAGCTGACTGTGTAATATAACATGACATTAGACTTTTCTGCTCCTCTCCTCAATTGTTTCAGACTTCATCTTCAAATCTGGAAGGTTCTCCAGACTCAGATATTAACACAAGAACTATGGGAGCAGAGAAGGACAGCAGTACCTAACTGGTGATTCAACAAAAAGCAAATTGAGTCTATTGTCCTCACAACAATGTACTTTGGGTGAAGAAGAATTCCTGGTGCACGGAACATCAGTAATCTGAATCTTTGCTGATGAATTTATCACAGGCTTTCCACTCCACTTATGGATGTTTCTAAACACAAACTATTTATTTCAACTGAAAGCCTACAGAAAAGGCTGACAGCAGGAAGACAGTAGCTATTGCTGTCTGAAAAACACAGGAAAAAAAAGGAGCTTTTTCTGCAGCATACTCTGATGTACCAGATGTGTTTAGAGGAGAAAAGAATCATAGAATCATAGAATGATAAGGGCTGGAAGGGACCTTCAAAGGTCATCTTTGAAAGAAGAGGAAATTGAACTGGGTTTTGCAAGAAGAATCCCCCTCAGAGGACAGGCAGCTGCCTTTCCTACTGGGACTCCTTCATTTGATTTAAACTGGCTGAACACAGGCCCTCCAGTCTGGCAACCACAGCATCCCTTTGCAGGGTTCAGCCCTGAGGATAAGAGTCTCTACCAAAGGATGTGACCTGATAGCTTCAGCTCAGTTACTCCTGCCCTGAACCATTGCCTGCCAGAGCAGCATCAGCACCCTGCAAAGCTTTGATCCTGGCTCCACAGCCTTCCTCCTCATGGGTCACCACCCAATCCAAACTCTTCAGAGCTTCACGTGCTATGCTCCACTCTTTGACTTTTTGGTAGCTCTTCTCCCTCTACAATATCAGCTGGTAATATTCATGGAGTAGCACAGAGAGACAGGAAAGGAGCAAGTGATGCATTTAAGTTCTACTCGTATGGCTTCAGACCTGTCTGGGTATGTGCCTCTGTGTGTGCACGTGCACACAGACATGCAAAAAATCACCGAAAACGTTAAGACTCCAAAACTCTGCAGTCTGAGGATGGGAGTGTCTCTGGGTGGATAGTGGAAGGACAGGAGTAGAACATCTTTTTTTTTGTGTGTTTCCTATGTGACGTTAAGATTAAATGACAAACTGTGCTCTCCTTTCCTCCTTCTTTCTTTTAGGCTGCCCAGAGAGGTTGTGGAGGCTCCTTCTCTGGAGATGTTCCAAACCCGCCTGGACACGTTCTTGCGTGATCTGATCTAGGTGGTCCTGCTCTGGCAGGGGGATTGGACTAGATGATCCTTTGAGGTCCCTTCCAATCTCTAACATTCTGGGATTCTGTGATTCTTTCCTTACATATAAACCAGTTTTTAGACCAACTCTTTCAGGCAAGGACTGCCTTGATCCCTGTAGGGCTTGATCCAGTACTCCTCTAGATAGAGTCAAAACACAACCCACAACCCGAGAAGTCAGCTGTTGCTGCTCACGCTTTGGTTATCCTCTCATCCAGCTGCTCGTTCGACGTGTTCAGGATGCCGTGCGTCTGAAGGCCTTGGCCTGATTTGTTAGTAAAGGTTCCCTCCAAAATGAAGCCATTGGCAAAGGACAGCTTTCCCTGCGACGGAGAAACAAAGGGTTATTCTGCCAAGATCTCATTAGCGAGAGGAAACAAGCTGGACCAAGATCTCAAAATCTCTTTTCAACAGAGCCAGCTCCTGAAATGGCAACTGAGAACGTCTTCCAGCACGGAGGTGCACATTTTCAGCGTTCAAAGCAGTAGTGTGGCACTAAGGTGGTGGTCACTGGAGAAAACATGTCCATGTTATTGAACAACACACATTGGATTCTGGAGAGGAAAGACCATCACAATTGCAGAGCGAAACATTCTCATTATGCTTTAGGAATACCCAATATCTTCTGTGAGTTATAACATTTTCTGGCTTCAATTTGACAATAATTATTTCTAACCTAGAGTGCACACACGAAACTTCAATTTCTCCACTGTTTTTCCTCTGCTTGTCAAAACCACAAGGAAGTTTGGCCTCACAGGTAAAGGGAATCACATGATACTCACCATAAACACTTTCAAGATGTTTGCTGCTACCAAGAAAAACCTTAAAAGTCTCCGAGGCAAATACAGAAGGCATGCAGTAGCTTGACCCAAACTCAGAAGTTTTAATTAAATCAAATCCAAAGCCAAACAATATCGTAACTAGCCTGGCTTTGAACACCAGCCTGAAATCCTCGTTGCTAATAGCAGGAGGCACTCCATCTTTAGATAAAGAACAGATTTTTCTAGACTAACCACTCAAACTAAACATTAATTTTGGAGGAAGCTGTATCTAAGCACTGCAATGGGTGTCTGCAAAATCCACCCAAGTCTTCTGGCTGAAGGAGATTACGACAAATTCCTCCCTCCCTGACAAGTCAGTAAATGACAGGGCTCGTTTGCAATCGTCACCAAGCGTCTATTTTGACATCCACTCAGTCTGATACAACCACCCACTTCCTGCCAGACTCATCATAGTTTCCTGTAACAAGCCAGAGGACTAGTTTTCCCTGCAACAGGTCACTTGATGAAAATTTTGGCCAGATATTTGTTAAACATCAACCGCAAAATGTTGAACGTGTCAGCGCAGTGTCCGGATTGCAAAATGAAGCTTCCAAGATCCCCCACTTAACATCTCGGTTAACAACAACAAGATCCCCCGTTAACATCTCGGTTACGTTAGCGTAGTGCTGGTGCTGCAACTCCATTTGGTTTGTGCATCATTTCCTATGTTCCCAACCACTACAAAGGCTAAAACATTTGCTCTAAGAATGCAAAAGCGTCCCAACTGCAGCTGTGAAGCACAGCCAAAAATGTCCCACAAATGAAAAAAAAAAAACCAAACCCTCAATCTAAACCCAAACAGTAAAAACCAAAACAATGCACAAAGCCTCCAGCTACTTGAAGTTTCTCAGCTTCAGCCTTCCTTCTGTGAATGTGACTGATAATAGAAGAAAAGAAATAGAAAAAAAATAAAACAAAAGAAAAAAATAGAAAAGAAACAGGAAAGCCTTATTTTGATGAACTACTGGAACAAGTTGCCCAGAGAAGTTGTGGCTGCCCCATCCCTGGCAGTGTTCAAGGCCAGGTTGGATGAGGCTTTGGGCAACCTGGTGTAGTGGAGGGTGTCCCTGCCCATGGCAGGGGGGTTGGAACTAGATGATCTTTGAGGTCCCTTCAAACCCAAACCATTCCATGATTCTATGATTCTTGGGGACTGAGGGAAGTAGACAGGGAGGGCATGAACTTTGAAGATTAATCCATCGGCCCTTCTGGAAAGCAAGCAACTGTATAGAAAGGCTGAGATGAAGGAAGTGCTCACCTTTCCAACAAATGTTAGATCTTCTGTGAAGTTCCCTTCATAGACAGAGTCATCTTCCAAAAGCAAAATCCCAGAACCCTTCATTTGAAAGCAGAATTAGTGAATTCATGACATCAACTTCCCATCTACTCAAGTTCATCTAGAAACAGCCACTAATATGGACTATATCCCTGGGAAGTGTTCAAGGCCAGGTTGGATGAGGCTTTGAGCAACCTGGTGTAGTGGAGGGTGTCCCTACCCATGGCAGGGGGGTTGGAACTGGATGATCTTTGAGGTCCCTTCCAACCCAAACCATTCTATGATTCTATCATTTATGGGCTACAGATTCTAAGAACCTGTTTGAAAGCCCAACATATCATTGCAATGCTCAAGAGAAAAGCAAGGAGGTGCTCTAGAGGAAAACCATTAGGCATCATCGCACAGAGGAGATGTACTGGGTAGTCAGGAGGCTGTGAAGAACAGCACTATTGCATTCCTTTCCCTGGGACAAGAAACAAAAGGCAGGCTCCTGTTCTAATAACAGTCACCAAGAACTGCTATATGAGTCGAACACATGGTCCACTCAATCCTACCACCTTTAAGTGACTGTAGCCCATTGGGTCATTTTTTTGCAATACAATTAAGGGAAAAGAGGAAGGCAGCTGCCACGTAGAATTAGCTTTACCCCTTCCTGTGCAGGCAACAGGGCTTTAAGGAGCTGCTCCTAAGCAGTTGGAAAACGACTCGTTCCGTCGCCTCCCAACTCCCATGGCTGCCCACAGTAGCAAACATTTCATAGAATCATTTCGGTTGGAAAAGACCTTTAAGAAGGGCGAACAAGATGCAGAACAGATGAAGGACAATTTATACTAAAGGGGGAAGATTCTTCTCGTTGGGGCTTAGCCCATGGTTTGGGCCCGAAGGTTCATACGTACCCATACCAGCCAGAAAACGTGGTCACTTTTACAGCTGTAACACATTTTCTGTTGGAATGGTTTTCGTGGTGGAAAGCGCCCTTTCTGGCAAAAATAAAAGGTTTCCAAGGGAAACTTCTTGGCCATACCAACTTTCCACTAGGAGAACTGAAGTGACTTCTTCCCACCCGGAAGGCTTGTGAAGTTAAAGGAGCTTTTGGCAGCTGGCAGACCTAAAGACAGCTTTGTTTTGGTTCCCCACAGATGGGGTTTTTATGGAAAGCCCTTCCGACAAAGTTTCCATGCTAAACATTTTGTCCTGATTTGGTGAGTGGGGAAGGGGTTGTTTGTTTTTTTTAAGTGCATATTTTTCATGAGAAGAAATGCTTTTATTTCCAAGCCAGTCATAGCGATGCCAATCCCTTTTGCTTTCCCCACCAACATCTAAACTTTCGGTGAAATGGACAACCAACTTGTCATAGGTGAGCTCATGTTGGAAAGATAAAGCTTAATGACCTCAAAAGTAGATGTAGTATTTTATATAACTGCACAGCACTTCACGTATGAGTTCTGATCTGTAGTTCTGACCTGATGGTCAGTCAAACATCCAGACTATAACGTGTCTTAGCATGAGCAAGGAGAAGTGACAGTCTCACATCTAGTTTCTACCTGAACCTCAGGAAGGTAATAAGAAACAAGACTTCATTTAGGCCTTGTTCTTCAAAAATATTATTGTGGTAAAATATCAATGATTAAGTTTTCTTGGTTTGTAAACTGAATTTAGATTGAAAGAGGGGCAGATTTTGATTAGATATAAGGAAGAAACTCTTCCCTCTGAGGGTGGTGAGGCACTGGCACAGGTTGCCCAGAGAAGCTGTGGCTGCCCCATCCCTGGAGGTGTTCAAGGCCAGGTTGGATGGGGCTTTGGGCAACCTGGTGTAGTGGAAGGTGTCCCTGCCCGTGGCAGGGGGTTGGAACTGGATGATCTTTGAGGTCCCTTCCAACTCAAATAATTCTATGATTCTATTTTGCCTCAAAGTTTAATCACATAGTGAAATCTTAATCTTGCCTTTAATGGGGAATTCCATGTCCCACTGATCTAGAGAGTCCACTCCAAATGAGTACTCACCACCATTTTATCAGCATGAAATGTCCTTTGATAGCAGACACCCGACTGAGTTACTACAATGCCTTGTCCATGTCTGTGATCATCGAGCCATGTCCCTATGTATCTCTCCCCTCTGGAATGCAATAGAAAACAAGTTATGTTTTTTCTCTGTTTTATTAGATCTTAGTCAATTTGATGTATCACTTAATGAGGGCAGTTTTTCCTGATACAACGCTCTACGAAGCACCATTGCCAGATGTACTGCACAAATTCAATTAATATAATGCTTCCCCAGGAGTTCAAGCCTTAAAGTAGAGGTTGAACACATCCCCCCCCCTTCATTGCCAAGCCTCTCCATCAAAACATGAGGCTTTACCCCTGTCAGTAGAAGGCCAAAACTGTCAGGCACCGAAAGCCAGCTCTGATCTACACCACCTTTACCTGTCTTTGTCTTCCCAGACTCCATATCCATTCTTCTTGTCATTTTCCCACTGTCCTGTGTATTTAAATGGATGCTCAGCTGAGAGGTTCTCCAGTATCCCAAACCCTTGACGCACATTGTCTTTGAAGTAACCTTTGTAGACCATATCATTCCCGTACCTGCAGGGAGAAAGACAGGCAGAATTTAAGACTGTGCCTATTTGATAGCTACTATTGGAGTAAGAAGCCAGGAAAGTGAGTAGATTGGGCTCATCTGCCCAAATATTCCAAGTATTTGATAGCTCTGGAGCCAGTAGTTGTTCACTGTCAGGAATGTGCATCACCCAAGCTAGTCACTCCGCGGGTAGTTTTCAACATTATCTAAGGACACAACACTTAGGTTTGCAATTGTCCTGGGAGAGGCCACTCAGTCCTTGACCTTTCACCAGCCAGGCTGCAGGGACCACTGGTTAATCCAGAGTGGGGGTAGATAAGATCAAGCAGGAAGCCAGATCTGCCTTCACCTTTCTGCACTCGCCAGCCACCCCTTCTCCTGGGCTCATCGCCCTGATAAGAGCTCCCCTTAGCTCCGTCCATGCTGGCCAGCAGATCTTCACTGCTGCAACAGAGAAAGCGTAAGCTAAGCAGAGCTATCATCTATAATTATCAACACGCCCTCATGGTTGACACCAGAGACACCAGCGCAGCACTGCTCAGTTGGCTCCACGTTCCCTTAAGAAGTCTTGTAGTCTTGAGTTTGATTCATAAATAAGGAGCACGAGAAGCAGGTGGTAGGGAGGAAGATGGCCTATCCCACAGTAAGCAGCTGGAAAGCTGGGCTGCGTGCTTCCCTCTGCCACAGCTGGCTCAGGGAAAGCAGAGGTCAGTATGAGAAGTAACAATGGAGAGTCCAGTCTTCACATTGGCCAACCCTTGTGGCTACAGCCACGTGTGACCTAAGCAAAGATGAGGATGTTGTTGCGCTCACTGCTAGATAAACAAAGCGAGCTGGCCCTGTCCACCTAGCCCCGTAGGATGGAAGTGAAGCCAGTTTATACCTACAAACTGCTGAGCAGGCTTCTGCTGCCATTTCTGGCTTCCTAAATGGAAGGTGGACAGCAGGTAAGGCTGGGACACCACCACATGCCCACAGTACTGTGCTTCACAGACCAGGCTCCATCCAAACTCCCAGCAGCTCTTTGAGACACAGGTGTGCAAGTGATTGTTTCCAGAAGCATTTTGATGAGTAAAAAAGAAAATCTCAGACTCCGTTTCTTCAGTTAAGCTCTGGGTTTAAGCTCAGAATTTGAGTGAGCAAAAAAAAAAGCCAACTAGGGGAACCAGCCCCCTTCAGCAGTTCAGGATGACAGTTATGACTCCCAGACCAACAATCCCACCACCCATCATTAAGGAAGCTACTCCATCCAAGATTTAGTTCAGATGGCAAGACCAGGGGAGAAAGAGAGTGCTGTGTGCTCCACCAAGTCTGTCCAGGGTTGATGGCACGCCATCCATCCCCAGAAGTGTTCAAGGCCAGGTTTTGAGGTTTTGAGCAACCTGGTGCAGTGGAGGGTGTCCCTGCCCATGGCAGGTGTGTTGGAACCAGATGATCTTTGAGGTCCCTTCCAACACAAACCATTCTATGGTTTATGATCCACTCTCTGCTCTGTGACCACAAGCATGAACATAAAATTATGTACTCACCTATAGGACACAGAGGATGCTACATCAGGTAGTGACAATACTCATAGTCTGCAGAAGAGCTCTTACTATTCTAATGCTCATGAGACTCAGGGCTTGTGAAGAATCCATACTGCCCATCTCCAAGGGAAAAGCTTCTGGCACCTGAATGACCCTAGTTTTTATACAGTGACTGAGCCTTCCACAGTGAGATGGGAATATTTCACCCTTTAAACACGTGGAGTCCCCTTTTTCCACCCCCAGAGCCCATCTTTGGGTTTTACTTACTCACAGATTCCATAGCCTCTCATCTTGCCCTCATACCAGTGGCACTTATAGCAGTCGTACCGGTCTTCAGATTGGCGTGGGACAAGGCATATTCCAAACCTACAAGGTGCATATGGCAGAGGTCAGCATGGCAAAAGGCAACTCAGTTGTACTGGGTGAAGTTTAAAAACTAAGGACCTTCCAGAATCCCAAGCTGATTTATGTAGTTGGGATCAACTTTACATCTGACACTACTCCTGGGTGTTGATGGACTTGATCCAAGGAGGAGCTCATCTCCTTGTAAGCTGCGGTCACAATTTCTCATTACTACTTCTACAGAGCTTTCAGTGGTATTGTTTTTTTCTCCCCTCTCTATCCTCTCCCCAGTTTAGAGGCTTAGTTAGACTACCAAAGCAATTGCTTTGGTCCAAAAAAAAATGTTTTCTTAAGCCTGACACAAAGTATTTGAGACTTTTTTCTCTTTAAAACTCAAACTTATTCTGGAACTCATGTAGAAATGAGAAATCTAAAAGTCTTGTTTTCAAAAAGTTTTAGAAAAATAATGTTTGAATGTCATAACATGGTTTCTTTCTCCTGAAAACTAATTTAAGAGATGTTTTTAAACATATCTAGAAGTAATTTTTTCAAGGCATTTCATATGAATAATTCACCTGGATTTAGAGATCTGGGGTCAGATGCATCCAGTTGAAGAGATGTTTGCATCTGAATTGGTCCTCTGCCTACATTCCCTACCCACAGTCTACTCAAGCTTGAATTGGGCTGTAACTGGGATTAGAGTCTGTCTACAAGACGCCAGTGTCCCCGTACCTCTGGGAGGAACTGTTTCTTAGCTTATTTTGAATGCAAGAAACTCCCTGGTTTTTAAGACCTACCCATGCTCCAAGCCCTCTTTGAAATCTCCAACATGGTTGCGTCCATCACGCCACTTCAGTGTCCCCCTGCAATTCAAAGCGAGCATTACACAAGGGAGATCTCCAGCAACGTTCACAGAAGGTATCAAGGCACAACCTAGAAATGGCTAACACCAAAATGTTTCCTCTGGGGACAGAGACACAGAAGTTCTCCAGGCACCTCTCGGACCTTGGTTTGCACTGTAAGGATTTAATACCATAATATTTTTGTGCCCTGGAAGGGGTGGGAAGAATCCTCTTCCAAGTTCCCCAATTTCAAAAACATTTTGTAGAGTTGCTGGGTCATCCATTTAGGACCTTGCACATGATCCTTTTGTAATCACAGTGCAGCATGTGATTAAGCCAGCTGAAGTTCCAGCATGGTACATCCCCGTAGACAACATAATGACACCACGGTCCAGCACTTCATTGTGCCAGGCACTATGAAAACAAAGGAGACAAGTGCTGACCTACAGGGATCGTATCTTTCCATCCGTTTCGCGTGGGAGTTGTAGAAATGATTACACAAGTGAACAATGCAGCAACGAGACTGGAACGGTCAATGCAAATTTGGTCAAATTACTGCAAGGCCATGCCCAGTTGTGAATGCATTTCCCTCCCTCCTGGTCTCCCACTCCTCCGACACCCACTCGCCGTTTTAATTCTTGCATCATCCCAGACACAGCCAGCTCCCTGCACATTCCCCCAACCAGAGACAATAGAATACGGTGCAGTATCAAAACCATGACTCATTTGTTTGATTTTCACCGAGGTTGTTGCTTTAAACACCCACATGAGACAGGCTTTTTTTTCCTGGTATTTACAGGGAAGTGATGAGATCAATTTTAAGTGGATCTAAAAACATATCTCCTTTTGCTTTGCTAGTACGGATGCTAGCAAAGGAGAGCAAGCCAGAGAGAATACCTGCTCCAGCCATAGGGAAGGTTTAAGATAATTCTCAGTGGGACTTTCTCCTGGCCCCACACCAAGACATCACAAGTACTGGGACAAAAGAGTGAAGAATGTAGATGTTCTTGCTGAAGAGCCCTGATTCACACTGCTGCAGCTTTCTGCTCATGCCAGTCTCTCCTTCAGAGGTGGACAAGCCATCAAGACCAGCTTTGCTGTTCTATAAAAAAAAAGCTGGAGAGGGACTTTTTACAAGGGTGTGTAGTGATAGGACAAGGGGCAATGGATTTAAACTGAAAGAGGGCAGATTTAGGTTAGATATAAGAAAGAAATTCTTTACATTGAGGGTGGTGAGGCACTGGAACAGGTTGCCCAGAGAAGCTGTGGCTGCCCCATCCCTGGAGGTGTTCAAGGCCAGGTTGGATGAGGCTTTGGGCAACCTGGTGTAGTGGAGGGTGTCCCTGCCCGTGGCAGGGGGGCTGGAACTAGATGATCTTTGAGGTCCCTTCCAACCCAAACCATTCTATGATTCTATAACCTCGTATTAGTAGCAGGTCACATAGAAGGGCAGTTTCAGGAGTGGGAAGGACAGTCTAGTAATTAAGCAATTATTTCTGCCACAAATTTCCTGGGCTGCCTCACTCAAGTCATTTAATCTGAAGCAGCAGAGGTGTTTATTCATCTCATTTCTTCAACCCTAAGACAGGAGGAGACAAAGAGCAAAGAGAGGTGCTTGTCCCTCTGTGTCTGCATGAAGTGGTTTTCCAATCTCTGTTAGGAGTGCAGGTGCTGGGGAAGGTGGGGATGATGTAAAGGACTGCCTCGGGCATAGTTCTACCCCAAATACCTATTTAATGCTCTTCTGGGGCAAGGCACAAGCTCTTCCACAGAAGATTCAGGATTAAACTTCTGATTTTGAATATTCTCAGTATTTTAAGGCTCTTTCAAACCAAGTCTCCACATCCTTTTTGCTTCAATAGCAACTGTAAACAAACTGTGCAAAACTCCAGAAGTATAAAACTTTTAAATCAGTCTATTTTGGTGTCTGAGGAGGTTGGTCGTATTTCATGTTTCTTCACAAAAGCAGAGGTTGTGTTCTATCCTATGTCAAAGAGATTTTGGTTGGGACCATTTAGCCTTTGATTTACAGACCATTCCCTTTTGACAGAGCTCACTCATAAACTACAATTTGATTTCGTGAACAGTTCTCATGTTCCCAAGAAATGCATTTGAGCATCTTTTATATTTATTATCTTTTTTTTTTTTTTTCTTTTTAAATTCCTTTGACAACAGTTTGGCTATTAAAACATACTTTGATAGTATAGGATAAAACTTTTCCCTCACTTGCAAGCTTTTTTTTTTTTTTTTTAGGGTATTTTTTTGTCATCATAACAGTAAGATTTTATGCCTCAGGCTGAGATCTTGAAAGAAAACATTAGCTCAAGTCTAAGTCCTAATTACAGGCATAAGCCAACACAGCACCTTCAGTGTGATCACTATCACATTATTAAGGTCAGCTTCTACTGCATAAACCAGTATCACCAGTGAGACATCTACAGTACAATAGATCACGTGGCGGGACTCATGGTCTGACCGAGCCCTGAAAGCAAAGCAAATATGTCCCAACTGCCCCCTGAATCTGCCCTCAACGCCAGATTTCCCTCTGGAAACAAGTAAGGCAGGAACCAGAGGGGCTGGCACACCCTGGGAGATCACCAGTCCAGAGTCTATAGTCCAGGCCCTCAGCATGGGATGGATCACCCCGTGTCCACAGCTGCTCTGTGGTATCTATGCCTCCACCTGTGCATCCACTGGATCCAGACAATGCTATGCAAAGACAGCAAGGCTATCCATGTGCTTTCTTGCTTAGGAAAAGGGGGGGAAAAAAAAAAAAAAGGCTCCTTACTTGCCATGAGGCTTTCCCCAGTGCCACTCGCCCTCGTAGGATGCGCTCTTGAACTTGCCCTCCAGCCTGAAAACGTAGGTGAAGAAGCGGCAGGACGGGGGCTCGGTGCCTTCACCAGCCTTGCCCCACAAAGGGAAATCTCTCTTGCCGTTCAGGGCCTGGCGGACAGCCTGGTTCAGCTTCCACTGCCAAACAGCCTAGGGGCAGGCAAAGAGGCGTTGGACTAACGAATGAATGAAGCAAAACAGCTCCCAACAAGAGATGCTTCAGGAGAAGCAGCAAGAGGCTGTTGGGTTCCCATCAATTCCGTGCCATTCAGCTGGCTGGGTTGGTGAGTTATGGCCCATCTACAGCATCAACGGGAGGTGTTAGCTTGGGTCCTGCAAGTTGGACACTGCATCAACCCACAACACTTTCATGTCATTAGAGCCTGACTCTCACCACTACTAACTGGCCTTGGCATAGGACCATGCTGATGGGACTGTACTGTCCCAAGCTCTGCAGCACACACTACTGCCCAGGGAAGACCACCAGATATTTTTCATCTACCATCGACTGTCTAGGCCATCTCTGGCCATCTAATGATGTATTGTCTCCACAGGGAGGTAAAAAAAAAACCAAACAAACAACCTGCCCACTGCTAACCTTCATCTGTGGGTCTTTGGCAGAGAGAAAGAACGTTTCTTCTGGGGTTATGATGCGGAGCCCATACCTGTGAAGCAAAAGACATTACAGAGACTATGAAAAACACATTTCCCAGTGAAACAGCAGTTCCTGCTCTTCCCATTCCTATTCAGGAGATAACAGTGCTTTTGCAGTCAGTTTTGTCCTTCTGAAGAAGTACTCAACTAGTTAACTCATCTTTGTTCTCTAGGTCTGCAGCCAAAATCATTTTATTTTTATTGATTTGAAGATGTCAGCAAACGCAAGTATAAGCTGTTGTGATCCCCATCAAAGACGTGTTGCAATTACCCATAGCCCAGAATCCATCCCACAGGGTGGAAAGAAAATGAGAAAGTTTTAAACTGTTGTCTCAGTTTCACAATGAAGTTGAAAGCTTTTTTCTTTTTTTCCCCCCCTCTCCAAGTGGAAATTTTTCGCTTACAGTCCTGGAGCTGATTTCTCCCTGTAGTTTTCATCTACCCACACAAGCTTCAGATCAAAACTCTGAAAGCTGTTTCCCTGGAACAAAAGGGACAAGAGATGTTCCTGTTATTGAGGTAAACATCACACTTTACCCCCACCCTGTCAATCCATTGAACAGCAGCACTGTAATTCCCTCTTTTGTGGTCTACACATCTATCCCACACTACAATGACAGACCCCAGAGACTGGAGAAATGTAGGAGAAGAAAGAAAGTTCTTAGTTTAACACTTATAAGTGATGTTCCATAATGCCATGGCTATAACTAAGAGTAACAGACCTTCTTAGACAGCACTTATGTCTACAAGAGATTCTTCCCTATCACATGACAACACTCCCAAATCATTCCCAGCACCCAGTATGCCCTAGTTTCACTCATGATCTAGCTAGGATTTGGACTCCAGATAGCACAGCCAATAGCGGCCCCACAAGTACAACATTGAAGAAGTCACTATTTTGATGGATAGCACACCAAACACAAGAAACTAAAACGACTGAAATATTAAGTAAAGACTGCATTTAATATTACATCTCCCTTCTCTGTCTAAAGTCCAGGTGCCCACACTACAGAGCTGCTGTCTGTAAGGATGTAGTTGACCAAGGTTAGGTACTACCACTATGGAGTCCATCATGAGTTAATCAATCACTGATGTGTCTACCAGATTTGAGGGAACAGGGAAGAGGTGATTCAGGTTCCCAGCACCAGATCCCTCATCGGCAGTCCCCTGCTAGCAGCCCAAGCCAATCTGTTCAATCCCAGTCCAGTTATATCTCCACCAGCCTCAAGAACAGTCATAGCAGCAGATGAGACACAGTGGGAGGCAACCGTTGACTGAATAGACATGTCTACAATGTAGATGTCTCTGTGTGAGCTGGTTACCCCGTGCTCTTGTCCTAGTCAATGGAGCTGAGGACATGATTCAACTCATCCTAATTTTGGCATCTAAAACAGGTCAGATGAATCACACCCAGACAGCACATGTTTCTCTCCCCTGACTATAAAGGGACCCTGGGGGCACTAGCTCACAGCAAGATCACCACCATGCTAAGAAATCTACAATGTAAAGTTGGATGAGATAATCACCACCTTATTTCCTCAGGCCTAGACTCTGCAAGCTGCGTTAGACAGCCCGGTGTTATCATAAAGGCTCATGATGTTTGGAAGAGCCAGTAAGATCTATCAGCTCACAAGGCAGTCATGTGTTTGGACACCTGAGGGGCTGGAACATGACTAAAGAGAAACCAGAGAGAGGTGCACATGAAGAGAGCCATGCTAGATTACAGGAGCTGTCAGTCAGAGCAAGCCAAGCTGGACTTAACATGCTGTAGAACAGCTTTGAACACATTATTCATCTAGCTATCCATAGCTGTAGACACTCCCTGTCTCTCCCACACCTAAATACCTGAAACAGCCTCAAGAACACCTGAAACTTCTGCTCCCATGCCACTGGCACAGTCAGCCACGAAAGATTATATTTAGTCCTAGGCAGGAGTGCTTACAGTAAAATATCACTGGAACAGGCTTCCCAGAGAGGTTGTGGAGTCTCCTTCTCTGGAGATGTTCAAAACCCGCCTGGACGCGTTCTTGTGTTATCTGATCTAGGTGGTCCTGCCCCTTTGAGGTCCCTTCCAATCCCTAACATTGTGATCTTTGACCCATCAGACACCCTTTGAATAAGCAAGGACAGCAATCAACAGATCCATATGCAGGAATGGGCTTGGATTACTAGAAAGGTGCCTGTGGTTGTTGGATAGGACATATTTACTGGGGAAAAAGTTAGGTGGGTGCTTCTCTGTTCCTTCATCATTAGGCTTTCTTTTATTCTTCAGCACAAACCACAGGAGCACGGATCTGAGACAAGGCTTCGCCAACAGCCAAGCTCTGCTGCATTTTTCAACATCAAAAGGAACCTGATTTTTACTGTCAAGTATCTGCACTGTCCTTCTGATTCCTCTGAAAGACCAACGACTCACCTGAATTAGCACAAGGACATCATCAAAGAGCAAGATCCGGTCTGATCGATTCGTGCTGGCAGAGATGGGAAGGTTTTTGCTATCTTCCAGAAGCCTCCTTTCAGGTACACAGAGCATGTCCTGCACAAGGAACCACAGAGGTCAAGATGGTGGATCAAAACCAGGAGGAAACATCAGGATTTGGGAGAGGACATACAACTGAAGCCAGCAGTTCCTCCAGAGACTGCCTGACTCACGGTGCAAGCTGACAGCGATAGCAGAACTGGACCACAGGGCTCAACTTTTAAAGCACCCAGTGTCCACATGGCTTCTCCAAGGCTTCCATGCTGCCCTGCTCTGTTGGCTTCCAAACCAAGTCTCAAATGCTTGATCTGTATTAAATTTCCTCTATGTGTAAGTGGAAGTGTAAGACCTCCGAGAAAGCTCCCCATCAAGCCATTTTCTACATTCATGACTCACTGTGAATTTGTAGCCCAAGGATTTCCATAAAGACTTGGTGATACAAGCTTCATCCAGGACTTGGCTGATGAAAGATTCCAGCTTCACATATTCCTTGATGGCACTCGTAACCACGTCCTTTTCAGAGCCCTGATAAAAGAAGGCAGAGCTTGAGCAAAGATTTAGTCATGGCTGTGCAGGACATCTATTCTCTGGGCTACAGCTGCAGCAAAGCCTCAGGAGTTCTGAATCTGAAGGGCTAACTAGAGTTAACCCTCCAACCCTATTTCCAGGGAAAGTCTCCCAAATTGAGCATCATTTCTGCCACCAGCAGAAGTGTGCAACCTTAAGCCAATTACTTGACCCTTTGCACCTCCTCTATATGATGCGTAGCTTTTACTATGCTGGAGCAGCCACTGTTTGTTGCTTTGAGACCTTCAAGAGGGCTCCACTCTGCTGGTTCTGGTTGCTACCACCACAGCTGTCCACTGGAAATCATTTAGTTCCAGCCAACTTTGGATTCAATAACACCACCACAAAGCCCCACAAGACCTGCATAAGATTTTAAGCATAAGCCAGTCAAATGACATCACATGAAGCTTCCTACCTCTTTGAGAGCCTCATTCAGCTTGGTAAGGAGCAGGATATATTGACTGATATGATCTCGGATAGGTTTGTGAAGAACAGTGTACAGGGCCAGTGGCATGGAGGTCTCAGAGGTGAAGTCTGTGACGAATTGTTTCAGCACCGTCTTGTGATGTTTCCAGGCTTCACTGCAAGACAGTGAATTAAGGCAAAGGTTCATTAATTAGTTTTTCTGCAAATGGCTACTCTTCTGCCTTCCAAACTTTATACGCTGCCTCACTCCCAGAGAGGTTATAGAAAGACTTGAAAGAGCAGGAGATAACACCAACCACAGAGAAACAAGGCAATGAGGCAAACAAGAGCTCCATCCATCCTGCCTCTGGCCCAGCAGTCTTTGCAAATAGGAACCACACCCACAGACATACAGGATGGAGCATGACTTCCATGATGGTTTGCACACCAAGAGGGTGACTCAGATAAGGTGGCTGTGAATCTGCTCAGACCTAGTGCTCATGTTTTCATTTGTTGTTTCCACGAGACTCTGACAACATCTGGGACAAGCAGTGGAAATTTCCTGCCAGATTCCTACGTCATCCTTTCTCAGGTCCCATCCCTTACCTGAACCTCTAAATTCCAAATTTATGGGCTTCCTCTCCTACAGAAGGAGTTGCACGCAGCTAGAAAGAGATGGAGAGGGATCTGTAGAGGAAACCTTTCAACCACTGCTGCCATGGTCTCAGAAGATGTCAGAAGCATCCAGTATGGTCGGTTCAGAAGACAGGCAGCTGGACCGTGAAACAGAAGTCACTGCGAAGGGCAGCGCTCAGTGCTGCTCAGTCCACTTTAGTGTCTTAACTCGTACAATATCATTGGAACAGGCTGCCCAGAGAGGCTGGGGGGGGTCCTTTTCCAGATGTTTCACCTGGACGCGTTCTTGTGTGATCTGATCTAGGTGGTCCTGCTCCGGCAGGGGGATTGGACTAGATGATCCTTTGAGGTCCCTTCCAATCCCTGACATTCTGGAATTGTGTTCCCGTCAGCCCCTTCAATACACATTTTTCAGCCCACTGACCTTTTGCTCTTTGTGGCATGTTCGAAGCCGTGGACTACAACGTAGTTTGCAAAAGTGACGAAATATCTGTTGGCAAGAAAAAAAACCCAAAACAAACATGCATGAGCACGCGCTGAGTTAGAGACGCACGTTAGCTGTAAGGTTTAAGTGATAATGAGAAGAAGCTGATTTGAAAATGTCGTGTCACTTTTCCAAGGGAGGCAGAGATGTAGCTACTGCCCCTCTCACCTTGGCTCCCTCCCCTTTTGCCCTCTTTGCCAGCTCCTTGGTTTAACTGCCCTGTTGACTTTGGCACCAGTATCGTTACAGGAAGTTTAAATCATCCCGGCGTTTAGCATAAGCAGAAGTAAACTTGGGCAACTGTCCTGGAAAGCACATCTACAGAGGCTGAGCTGAAGATATGGGCTTCAGACGTGTGAATTTTTGCTGGTTGGAGTAAAAATATCGGGTCTGTATTAGTGATGGTAAATTCCAGTCAAGGCATCCCACGCCAATGTGTCTCATCCCACACTAGAGGGAGATCGAGCCATGTTTTGTCAGCAAACACCACGGTTTCTTCCAGTAGTGTTTCCAGATAAACCATGTATAATGTCCAGACTAATTATCATTTATTACATCTTTCAGGGACATGTATTTACTGCTGATTTTCAGGCCCCTGAAGAGGAGTTTTGCTTCCTCCTATATCACTCCAATGAGCATGAGACGTTGTAGGATCCGGACTGCAGAGAGTGAGTCAGCAGAGGTGGTAGGAACCAGCTCTTTTTTTTTTTTTCCTGCATGACACCCAACAAAAACAGGTTCTAATTTCAAAACGAAGGGAAATCAGATCTTTAAGATAAAACTCTCCTTTGTGTCATCTGAAACCTCAGTGCAGGTTTTCATCTTTTATATGCCTTTTTAAGACAAACTGATTTTAATACAGTGAATCAGTTCCCAAATGAACAACACGCACTGCTCCACACCCCGTTTGCACAAAGGCAAAGCTTGTTGTGCATCACTCTCTAAGGTGATGCTGTCCAAGGAAAAAGGAAACAAAAAGTAATCCTTCCTTCTCCCTCCACATGTATAAAAACCACCAAAACCAAGACTAGATGAACAGAAATGTCCAGGAGCCAGTGCTCCCAGCTCCCATTCCTGCGTGGGTGCCAAACTGCACAGACGGTACAAGCCCAGCTGGCAAGGGCTTGGCCACATCTGTGGCTAATGTGATGAATGAAGGATTGAACACTGTCTGATCTTGATGTCATCTCGGGTGTCCATAAACCATTTTTCACCCTAGGACACCAACACACAGGTTATACATGCTGCAGTGATTTTGGTAAACATTTTATTTTGCTTTGCAGCCAGATGGGGAGCAGACATAGTTAATTATAGAAACAGCAATAGGGCAGTATGTTTTTCACATCACGCTACATCCATCACTTGCTATCATATCCCTTGCCAGAAGCATAAAAACGTGGCAGAAACACATAATATGAACTGTGCCTGGTGACATCTTTCTCTCCTTATCCCTAGGAGTCCTTCAAACCTGATTTTGCATGTGTTTCTGTTCCTGATGCCAGCCCAAGCTTTGCGCTCATAAATTCCCCAGGCACAAATTCTCCCCCTGTCCTCTTCCCGGTTTTAAGATGCTTAAAAAACCCTGTACTTGCAAGAAAAAAATTCTGCCTCTTACAAGCACACTCACATCTACAAAAAAAAGACTATTTATTATACCATCTGCACAGACACAATATTCTGTAACATTTGTCCTGGGCACTGAATGCAATCGCTTCCCTGACCTAACGACAGGACTGAACAAATTAAACGCACAAATTAATTGCACTGACCTACCAGCTAGTGGATAAATTTGGTCCCTTACCCTACTCCAAAATCCTTCTGTACTTACTGGATGTAGAGGCTCAGAAACAGGTCTCCGTTCCAGACAGTGTAAATGTCCTGGATGCAGAATGACTCCGAGGTGCTGCATTTTTGTTTAAGTATCCGGTAATTTTCTTCCGTGAGGTTCCAGAGAGCTTGAAATCGATCATTCAGGAGGAGGAAAAGCTTAAAGTTCTCCTTTCCTTTCTGGTCACTAGGCTCTTTGAAGAAAAGATGGGGGGAAAAGGCTGTCAGAAAGCCTTGACTCCAAGAGATCTTGTGGAAAACATTGCCTATGTTTAATACTCAGCACAATTTTTCGGTGTAAAACACATATATTCTTATAGGAAAACAATGCCAAGGAGGAAGGAGATGATGATTATTTAGGATTGTGTCCCTGTGAGTAATTATGCATTGGCTTTCCACGCTAAGGCTTTGTCCTTTCCATTCTCGTGGGGCATGTGGTCAGGGCAGCCTGCAAGGCTCAGCCCCAGCTCAGGAGGAAAATTTTCTGCTGTTGGCTCCAAGGGCTGTTCCCCATCTCCTTGGAGGCTAGACCAGAAAGTTGGTGACATGAGAGGGAACCACCCTACGGGTCTAATCCAGTCGCACCACTTTTGGCCAGACGGGCTCGTGAATATTTATGTGGATTTGTTATTTCAGTGGAGCTGCTCTGATTTACTGCCAGCTCAGAATCTGCACCCACAAGTTGTACCTTCAAAGACAGGCATGACCATGGACTGAGAGCAGGAGGGCAGAACGGGCACGGTTGAGGGGTCACGTATACGTGAGAAGCATTTTGGATTTCCACGCGCCATGCTGGAAACAAGCCTTGGAGCAGGTGCACGGGCTGACACTGGTTAGAATCTGGATTAACCTCTCAAACCAACAGGAACCACAGTCCTAGGCTTGAACAAAAGGTCATGGGCATCCTTAAGAGCTCACTGTCTTAAAAACAACTCTATATACCACCGTACCCCAGCAAACCAGCCCCCAGGAAGGTCCTCAGCCGTGGGGTTTCAATTACAATTCCCTTCATAGGTGTGCCTGTGACTCACGGCCAGAACTACAGACAAAAAGTAAAGTCGTCTGCTCTGACCTACCTGCCTGGAGCAGAGGCTTGAGGATGAGGGCATCTATCCGTGCCAGGCATGCTGAGAAGGTTTCTTCCACTTGGAGCAGAGACGCAGTTGCTTCAGCCGTGCACATGTCCTGGACACAAGACAGAAGGCACACATAAACTCCCTTGCAAGAGGATCCATCTACCAATGGCTTCAGTGCTCATTGCAAACCATCAGCCTTTCCTGCTCTTTGCAGCACACACGGATGTAATTGCTGTCCCAAAAAAGCATTTGAAAACGTTAGAAGAGGAAACAGAAACCCGATAGCTCAACAAGAGTCGGCGGCACAGAAGACCACTGAGGCTACAGCCCGTTTTCCTGATGCCCCAGTTGAAGATCTTCTCAGGTGGGCTACAATACCTCTTCCACACGACTGAAAAGGCCCTAAACTTCTTGATATTTGTTAATCCTGCTTAGTGTCAGATTCGTTCTCCCAGAAGATGCTCTCTGAACTACAAGGCAGCAAAGCACAAAGCAAAGCATCTTTTCCCATGTTCCTCACCAGTTTTCTGCCCAGGTGCCTCAGTCTGCATCTTTTGGCGTTAAAAGCTATTGTACGGAGCTGAAGAGCCACACCAGCCATGCCCAAACATCCAAATCTCCAGAGGAACAGAGGTCTGGTGTTACTCCTTCCTGAGTAGGACTCTGCACTGCGGATTGTGTGTCACCACTGCTGCAACAACAAGGAAAGCTTGCCTAAAGTGGAAGTGGGCAGCAAAACCCATATGAGCAAACTCCAGCAACTTCCTCCTTCCCAGCCTCACCTCCCGACAGAAATGTATCAGAAGCAGAGAACATAGCCAGCTAATAGCATGTCACAAGACACTACTCTGGAAAAAGACCAGCTGGTGGAGATACTACATGCAGAATCAGCTGATATTACTAATATTGATAAAAATACAGACTTCTGAGGTTCTTTCAACACTGTGAAGCGAAACAGTAAACTCAAGGGGCTGAGTATGGCCTGTCCATGTTCATCCTTAGCCTGGCTGTACTGCACGCTCAAAGGCTACGTTCACAACAGTAAGCAAAAGAGGATGGCATTATGCTGCAAAGATTTACGTCGCTGGATTGGTGGCCGAGACTTTGGCACAGTTTTGATGTGCGTCAACCAGCACCTCTCCCAGACAATTCTCAGTTATGGGCAGGTAGTGATAGGACAAGGGGCAATGGATTTAAACAGAAAGTGGGAGATTCAGATTAGATCTAAGGAAGAAATTCTTCCCTCTGAGAGTGGTGAGGCACTGGAACAGGTTGCCCAGAGAAGTTGTAGATGCCCCATCCCTGGAAGTGTTCAAGGCCAGGTTGGACGTGGCTTTGAGCAACCTGGTGTAGTGGAAGGTGTCCCTGCCCATGGCAGGGGGGTTGGAACTAGATGATCTTGAAGGCCCCTTCCAACCCAAACCATAAGACAATTCTATGATTCTATGGTCCAGGGACCATTTGAAACAGGTAGCTTGCACGTAGTAGTGCTGTTTTGGGAGATAAGGAGAAATTAGCTATGTATAGGTTATGGAATAACTACAGGGCTAGACCTGATTTATTTACTAATGGAGATGTAACTAGAGTCTTTGCACTGTTTCCAGGAAGAGCTGAACTCAGGCTACCTGCTGGTGGCATACTCCAAGACATCCTGGACCTCTACCCCGATTTCTACAAACAATAGGTGACATTCCTTCTCCTTGTGTTGAGATGTCAGGAAGTTAAACATAGAAGCCTAACCCTACTTTATACTCCACGGGAAGAAATACCTCAACCATCTCAGCATGGACATCACCCAGGTGGGGTGATTAAGTTAGGTGGGAACATCTCATTTTTAAGCTTCACAAGGGGGTGGATTCCTTGCTAAATAAGAGTCTGAGCTCCCTAAAGTCACCAAACTCTGCTTAGGAACTCCCTTTCCAGGTCATCCTGGAGCTTGGGCTGAAATGGTGTCCTAGAACAAGGGATGCTTTGCAGTTTGAACAGTTAGCTGGCCTGGTTTTAAGTGGTTGTTGGGATCCAGACCTAACTGACTCCATAGATGAATGACAATATTTTCTCCTTAGTAACCACTGCCTCTTAAATTTCATTTGTCT